AATCATCAAAGGTACATATACAGTGTTTAATAAGGACATGATGGAACATCGTAGGCTACCCTGTAGCTTTTCAATGAATAAAGTCCTATGAAAAATCATTGTGTAATAAAATGCCTCCGACGGGATTCAAACCTGCGACCTCTCGCTGACAAGGCGAGCATCATAACCACTAGACCACGAAGGCTTCATGGTTGAACAGGTCCAAATACCCATCGGGAACATTGTATTACACAATGCTATGCCTCAAGAGGGCGTTCTGCCAGATAAAACTGGAAATACGGCTAGAAATACTGTCGTATATTATATATGATATTGAAGGAAGTTAGCCGTTAACACTGTTGAATAAATATAATATAAATCATCAAAGGTACATATACAGTGTTTAATAAGGACATGATGGAACATCGTAGGCTACCCTGTAGCTTTTCAACGAATAAAGTCCTATGAAAAATCATTGTGTAATAAAATGCCTCCGACGGGATTCCAACCTGCGACCTCTCGCTGACAAGGCGAGCGTCATAACCACTAGCCTTCGTGGTAATACAATGTTCCCGACGGGTATTTGGACCTGTTCAACCATGAAGCCTTCGGAGAAAATTCATTATGGTGTAGCCCATTATTCTCTCTTGACAAGCCCCTAACCTGTCTAATTGTACTCAATTGCTTCATTGCTTTGTCTTTTATAGTTTTTTATTGTACGAGGATGTCGATTTTTGTATGTGTAGAATTTATAATAAATAGAAAATAAAATACCAATTATTAAGTATTTAATTACCGCATTACATTAGAGGAGTTAAAACTGTCATAATAGATGTGTTCAGTTTACTTCATTCACTGTGTTGGTTATGACTTATGTGCATAGGATGTACGTACAAGTGATCTCCATTCGAGTCTGTTCTGTGCTTGCCTTTCGGTTTCCTGAAGTGCCATGTCGGTGTCCTTTGGGATTTGGTCATTCCTGTTGGAGGGCTTCCTGGTAGTCTTGGTGAGCTTAAATCATGCAAGTAAGCATGCTGTGAAAGTATGTGCTGTGGTGTCCTCACAACATGTCCAAGCCATTTTATTCATCTTTTGATGGTATTAGTGATATTGAGTCTGTATTATTTCTTCATTTCTAATTTTTACTCCCATTCTCGACCGTAGGCATCTCATCTCGAAGACTCCAAGCTTTCGCCATTCTGATAATTAACAGTATTTATGATGACGACAATAATAATGATGACTGCTAATCAAATCAAACCAATCAAATCAAATCAAATCAAATCAAACTTTATTTGTCCATTAAAACACAGGTAAAATGGAAATTCTTTTTCCACTGGCAAAGAACATGAAACATCAAAACACCAGAAGGAGAACAGTGACTAAAATTTGGAAAGTTTTCTAACAATTTAAAATAATTAATAATTAATTCATTTAAAACATTTTAAAATGTAAAATTCGCATTGCAAGCTAATTAAAATCACTCATTTTTGTTTGGCATTTTGGTTGAAGATACGTATTGCGTTAATTACAAATGAGTCCCTGTATTTGTTGTGTCGAATACGTGGAAGATATAATCTAAAACCTGAGTGACTAAAACTGAAACAATGGTGAAGTGGATGGGTGTCATCTTTCATTATAGTTTCTACTTTTTGTAATATCATTTTATGTTGAGCGGTTGCGGTTTTGGCTCAAACCTGTGAATTTCACTAATGAAGGGCACTTGCATTGTCTGACCCAGCCAATTATGCAAGTACAAGTGCCGTACAAAATTGCCCTGATTACTGCTGCAGTAGTTATAATTATTATTGAATGCATGCATAAAGACCATAAAAATGCATATTATACATTTCCACTATAATGATAATGATATAGATAATGATGATAATGATGTATCTTAGTTCATGTTTTTAGCATATTTTTCTATTTCAGTTAACAGAATAATTATTACACACCAGGGGTGGGCATAAAAATCGGTGGGAGGGCCAAAGTGACTTTCTGATTAAACACAGAGGGCCGCACCCAAACTTTAATCTTTAAAATGCGCTTTCAAAAACCTCCACTTTATTCCCAGTTTTAATACTACTCTTTACATCGTAAAAAAACAAGGTGTTTTCTAGCAAATGTTCCTTGGCAGGCCGCACACATAAGCTTTTTAATTAATATTCGCGGGCCGCAAAAAAATCACTGTCGGGCCGCATTTTGCCCACCTGCATTCTACACTCTGTGTAAATAGGCATTTAGGACAATATACAGAACACGGCCACACTGAACCCCAAAGCCAAATAAGGTCCAACGATAAAGCTACTAAGAAAACTCGTAACAATTCGTAAATAAAATAGGCCTACAGTAATACCTGTCTCTTATACACATCTAGATGTGTATAAGAGACAGGTCATATATTATATATGATATTGAAGGAAGTTAGCCGTTAACACTGTTGAATAAATATAATATAAATCATCAAAGGTACATATACAGTGTTTAATAAGGACATGATGGAACATCGTAGGCTACCCTGTAGCTTTTCAACGAATAAAGTCCTATGAAAAATCATTGTGTAATAAAATGCCTCC